GGAAATTAATGAAAAGGCGCCGAGCGAGGAGTCAACAAAGGACCTACAAGGGTTAACGCCACCTGGGCCCAAAATGGAAACCAGGACGAATTCGGGCACGTGTTCGTGAGTTGTGGCTACCGTAAACATGCAGCCGAAATCCCTAATTTAAAATACGGCAAGTAAATATTAGCTCTGGCCTCCCATGTCAGCAGAGGGAGTCGTCAGTCGAACATGGAGGGGGAATTGGGGATTTAAAGGATTTAAATGTTTTTAAGCCCAATATGAGTATTTAATTAAGGTAACAGCTTTATATAGATTTTATTTTAAATACCTCGCAAGTTTATTTTATTTGTTAACAACAAACTCATAGATTTTTAAACCGAGATTTATTTATTTAATTTTTATAATCATATGATTTATTTTTAAAAACTATTCGAAAGCAACAGGCTGATGTCCCAACACTTCTCAATAGAAGCTAGCAATAACCATGAATTATCCATAAATTATTTCGATCAGCATCTCTTTGCGTCCAATGTCCAAATAGCAAGAGTCCAAATTGCAAATACGGACACCCGGGACGAATTAAAACAGGAAATTACCATTTATATTGCATTAAGTCCACACCGAAGAGCGAAGAGCGTCCAAATGGATAGCAAATGTGCAGATTGCCCCAGAGTCCGACGATGATATTGACCAATTTTCCACATGTCGGCCTATTAATTTAGTCAAATGTTCGCTAATTGGCCAAACGAGTGAGATTGGATGCGCTGTGTTAATCACTAATCACCCCAAAATCTCGTCAAGCAAATCATATGTTTATGATCATGTGCTCACTGGGCTTTGGCATTTATTAGCCACCAAAGGCAGTCATAAATAATTCAAAAGTAATCCCAGACACACATTTTTTTTACGAAGTTAATAAATTTTGCCATTAAAAGCACCGAAAATATGCGTACGTGTCTGCGGAAAATCCCTTTTTCGAGAGGGTGGCAAAAATACTCAAGGGAAACGCTGCATTAGCAGAGTTAAAAAAAAAATACTCAACAATAAAATAACACAATATCCGCAGAGGATATCAAAATGTTTTGGGTTTTGATTTATGTACTTGGAATCCGATGCCGCAATTTGCCAACGCTGCTTAACTCGATTCTTTAAGAGCTTTTGTTTTTGGTTTTGCCAAAAAGATGAAAGCTACAAGCTTTGCGTAGAATGGGTTAAGTCCCAAAAGGATTTTCTTTCATAAATTAGATTAAATTGTCCGATATTCGCATCTTGCTTTTTGCCAATTTGCACACAATTCTAATTAGTTAATTACTGTTTTTGAGGTTTTTGTTGGCGAGTTCTAAAAGGTTTTGCAACTTTAAAGTGTAAAAAAGCCGTTTTGCCTGAGAGATTTGAGAGTCACAATTTTATGCCAATCACTCAATCAGCCAGTTTGTCTTGGCCAAACAATACGCCGCTTTTTGTTGGACTTTCAATCAAAGTTTTTGTCCAACAGAATGTTCTTTGATGTGGCCGTCAGGAGCAAAAACTTTCTGCCAACGCATCACTTGGATGTTTGTCATTCCTTTCGACCTCCTGTCAGGTGCCTGACATTTTGACAGCTTAAAGGGTAAGATGGTTTTCAAATTTAGGGTGAACTTAGGAATTTTGGTTTATTTTGGATGTTTAATATAAATGTTTTCTTATTTTTAAGACCTAAAGACATTAATATTTTCCCCATTTATACGCTTCTGTTGTCAACACAATTTGTTTAACCATTTTACGAACTTTATTTGAAATCAATACAGGCAGCAGTTTCCGCATCTAATATTTTATTTATTTCAAGGACTCAAGGAGGCCTCCTTCAACTTTGACTTTTTCTGGCACTCCTCTCTCGCTCGCTGTTTGCCATTTTATGGCTCCGTTTTTTATTGCCAGCCATTACTTGAATATTCCGGTAGCCTGGTTAGTGCCAGCTCCGATTTCACTCCAATTCTCTGGGCCAAGAAATCGATGAAGGAGCCTTTGTTTCAGCCAGACAGGGACATTTTTGTGGGCCTCGCCTTCTAGGGGCTCCGGGTTCAATGCTCGCCATTAACCACTGCCAGTCTCAGGCGGCATGGCATTAATGTTTTTCAATTATTTTTATTGGCTTATCATAAATTATAACGCCCTCCTGGCCTACGATGCCATATTTTCGCTAGCACTTACCGCCTTGACGTGTACTTTGCGAAATGACTTTAACTTGAAAGGCCTCGTAAAGTTGGCGAAAATACGCACGCATTGACACCAACATATGTTGGTCCAATTTTGGCGACGGGAAATCAGGAAAAACTTTCAACGAAAGTGTGCAAAAGTTTCACATTTATTATAATGAAACGTAGGTTTGACTGTGATTTGGTTAAGTTATTCAACCATTTAGTCGCTGTGACAAATTGAAAAGTCCTCCTGCCTTCATTATACTTTAATGCAATTAGTCGTCTGCATACCGCAGCTCGGTTACAAAAGTTTTCGTCTTTCGCTTCTTGTGCGCATTTAATTATCACACCAGGCATCCTTTTGGTTTCCCTTCAAGGACTTCTCCTGTTGCAAGTGCAATTTCCGTGCTAAATATTTGCACACAAAAGCAGGAAACTTTTGTGCAAGTTTCCTTTTTTTGCTTTTGGTTTTTATGGTGGCCCAAGTTTTTCCCTTCCTGCAAGCGAAACATTTTTAAAGTAACTACTAAGCCGGAACGTTGTATCCCCTTTCATTAAGCCCTTTGACTGGTCAGTTCTTCGGACCTCACTGGCACTTTACAACTCTTCTCAGTTTCCGTTGTTGCATTCTTCGAGGGCTTCGAGCACTTTTGCAAATAAGCCGGCATAAACTAAAAAAGAAACAAAATGTTGGCAAACAAAGTTTAAAAACTATTAGTCAGTGGGGTTTTCCTATAAAAAATGCAGTCTGAGAAGCTTCTCAATTTCGATAAGTGGCTAATTTAGAGCACAAAATAAAAAATAAATATTGTAGAAAATAGTTCTAGATAGTTCATATTAAATTGTTGTATAATTTTAAGCAAAATCCCCTAGATCAGCCTTGAAATATTGATTCATCTGGCGGTCAACGAAGCATGTGAGGAAAATAAAATGATTCCACTTCATGGAAAGCGTTGCCGAGTGAATATAGATGTAGCTGCCCCTGATTGCACAGTTCATGGAGCATGGCATTCTATGACCCATTCAGTCGCCTTCTCACGTCATAAGATTCCTAATTAGATCAGCCACGGAAGATAGGGCAAAAACCCAGTGAGCTGCTTTGCATGCAATGAAAAGAGCAGACGCTTTTAAGTGCAACATTTTCCAGTCTTATCTTTAAGTTGCTCCACTTGAGTGACATCCGTTTTACCCTCTTTTCCTTTTAAACAGCAACAGCTGGAAAAAGAGATAAGAAACATTGGCTTCGAAATGCCCTGAAGAAATATACTTCAAACGCCAGCAGGTAAAATAGGAAAATGAAAGCACCGTAACCATTTAAATTGCTTTTATATTAATACCTCTACCGATTTACCAATTAGCCAATCACCTGCGCTTTTTCATTTGGGTTCCATTTCATTATGGACCCCAGTATTTTCGAAATCAATTAGCTCGAAAATTGCAGCGAACCGAGGGCGTAATTGGATTGCTTTGTGGCTGACAGCGTATTGTATTGTACTGTGGGAATCTGAGCTCCAAAATGTCGCATTGTTGACCTATGACCACAGGCACGGGCATCGCCGTAATTTGGATTTGGGAGGCCGATGGCTGAATGGCACCAACAGACATCCCGGCCCAGAACCCGCAGATATATTTCACCGCAAATACGCCAAATCTTGCCCACACCAACCAGCTCGATAATTCCAGTCTGTTAAGGTGAGCTTAAATATTTAAGCAATTTATGCAATGCCAATCTGTACATCACTTTGTCAGCCCTTTGAAATATTTCTTTGCTAAAGTATTTAATTTACAAATATTTTCCAATCAAAGGCCAGCAAAGAGTAAATGGTAAGGGAGAAAAAGGAAAATTAAAATTACAAATATTTATATTATTTGGTTTGCTTTTTACTTAAGTGTTAAATAGATTTTTTATTTAACGTTACACTTAAATACCTAATATTAATTTACATAACTAGAAAACCATGAATCCTCAGGAACAATAAAATACATTAACAACCGCCTACGATTTTAATATTTAATTAAGCCTATTCCACATACGCCACGTGGCCCTGGCCTCACATAGAAAATAAGTAGGCGGGTGGCCAGACAAAGTGGGTTAACTTAATGGCCGGGTTAAGGAACCTCTAAAACACAACGGTTGCTAGGCGGGAGCTTTGTCTCTGTTCCTCTGCTTCTGAGTTTCCAACGGGGGAGGTCAGCAATTACCCGGCGAGCTGGTCATTAAAAACAATCCTCAACGGAGCACGCAAAGCCATTGGTATTAGCCTCTAGCTCTGGCTCCCATGTGAACTCCAATATGCCTATGCGTGACATTGCTTATTTTGGTAACAGAAGAAGCTAAATTTAGGGTTTAGGGTTAGTTTTAGCTAGCAGATATTCAAGCATTTTTTTAAGAAAATTATATTACGGTTTTCTGCAGTCTTTTCGTGTTTGAATTACCCTACGAAAGCCTTTACGAAACGTAACACTCTAAAAACGTAAGAAGCGCCATCTTTTTTTGTAAAGTGGCGCCATTGCTATCGTGTATGTAAAAAAGTCAGCCATGTAAAATAATGTAAATAAATTTAAAAAATTCGAAAAATTAAATTCATTTACTAGAAAATGTATTTAACCAGAAATAAGCTACTGACTTAAAATTTGAAGAATTTTTCGATTAATTTTATTTTAATAATCTGCTGTAGAAAGCTTCAGTTTGTAAGCAACAAAAGCTGATTGATATAGAAATATATTAGGACCTGGCTTATGAAAGCTTTTAGGCTTGCCGCGCCTTTTAAAATACTTTTGAAAATAAATCTAGTTATTTAGTTCATTTAATTTAATTTATTGTGAAACAGGAAAATTCATTTCCATTAAAATAAGTATAAATTTCGGTGAAATATCTTAAAAATCCCCCATTGCAACCAAATAACCACTTAACAGCTATCTTAACTATCACATGAGAACTTAATGTAATGACTGGTGCGAAAATTAAATAATAAATAATGAGCTTAAACGTAGATTCAGGAGTTCACAGGGAGTGGTTCTCATGCGCCAGGCATCCTTGACCATATCAGAAGCCTTTTCTGCCACCATAATCACAATGGCATTCGTGTGGCCAGCTGGAACATTGGGTAGCACCGAAGCATCCACAACCTCGTAAACCCCGGATGCCATGCACCCTCAGTTGGGCATCTACCACTGTGGTATTATCCGATTCAGGCCCCATCTTGCAGGTACCCGATTGATGCTGCAAACTGGAACCATATCTCCGCAGACAGCACCTCCAGTACTCCTCGCTGGCGAACTTCAGATGCTCGCAGCCCGGAAAGGGACGGTCGTGGAAACGAGTGCCCATCTTCACCATGGGCTTGGATCGGGCTAACTTCAGGATCTGAAAAATATTTAGAAAATAAGTAAGATTGCTGATTTTTATATTTTAGATAAAGTATATATCTACCATTTCGATTCCCTCGATCATGGCCCTCACATCGTCGGGATCCTGCATGAAATTGGGTTCCATTCGTGGCCAGTGGAATGGATTCCTGCTTCTCAGCGATATTCTACCCCGACTTTTGGGACGCAGGAGCACAGGAACTAAGCCAAAAGTTTCCTTATTCTGCAGATCCCCAAACATGTAGTCGTAGAAATCATCGGTGATGCCCAGCAAGTTTCGCATGGTGCCAAAGCGATCGCCACTTAGGGATCCCGCGCCCAAAACTATTTCCATATCAGGATAGTCTTTCGCTGTTAAGTAAAATAAAAGAATAAATTAAGAAGAGTTCTTAAACGTATTATATACCAGTAAAATTCTTACCAAAACTGGAGCTGGGAGTTCGTACGAAGGCAAAGGCCTCGGCTCCGCCTGGAATGGTATAAGGTCCCTGTCCCGCAAAGAGGTACCTAAAGATATCCGAGGGATTCAGCAAGCGGGCATCGTTCACCGTGGAATCATTGACCACAAACACGAGACCATTTAGGGTTATGTGATCCTGGAGATTGTAACCCACTGGCAGATCCTGAACCACGGAGATCTTGTGTTCCTTGAGATGAGCCTCCGGACCCACTCCTGATAACATGAGGATCTGGGGACTGGCGATGGTTCCAGCGGATAGGATGACCTCCTTTCTAGCTTTAACTATGAAACGCTGGCGATTCTTCACAAACTCCACCCCAGTGGCTGTTTTGGTAAGGGGATCTATTACTATCCTAGTGACCCAACTCTTCATGGAAATGTGCAGATTCTTTCTATTTACCACTGGCTGTATAAAAGCCTTGCTGGTACTGCACCTTCTGCCATTTCGAATAGTGGCTTGAGATCTGGCAAATCCCATCAGGTGTTCCCCATTGGGATCTGTTATATCATAGCCCATTTCCCTGCCAGATTTAAGAAAGGCCTTTAGCAACTGCGATCTATAATCCGTATACTGCACATCCAGCTGGCCATTGCGACCATGATAGGGTGATTTATACAGTTCTGGTATGCCAATTCTCTCGGATTTCCGGAAGTATGGTAGCACCTCATCGTAGGACCAACCCGAGTTGTTGGCCGCCGACCAGTCATCGTAGTCCCTGCGATGACCGCGAGTGTAGAGCATAAAGTTGATCAGACTAGTGCCACCCACGCCACGCCCCTTGGGCCAATTGCAAACGCCGTCCTTTAATCCTTGACAGGCGTTTTCCGTGGGCTCCGCCTTGTAGCCCCAATTGTAGCGAGTCATTTGGGTGAGAGCCGCCGTCAGTGGGACATCGCTGATGAAGGTCTCCTGATCACCGGCCTCCAAGAGCAAGACGCTTGCCGAGGATATCTCACTCAGTCGATTGGCCAGGACACAACCACCACTTCCTGCTCCCACGATAATAAAGTCATATTCCTGCAGAAAACGTGTTGTATCCGGAATTCGGTTATTCAGCAGGGAAGTCTCGAAATCCCGGGCCCAATCCACAAAAAGTTGTGACCAGGAAGGTTTGAAAGGAACACAGGCAGAGAAGCAGAACTCCATAGAAATTTCATCTTGACTTAATCTGTGAAATAAAAAAATTTGATAATAAAATATAATTTTTTAAAAATTTCTGGAACTTGTAATATAAAACCAATTTTTAATTTAATTGAATCTTATTATTTATTCCCATACTTTTGAATAAAATATACAAATTAAAAGGATTACTTTTACAAAAAGTAATTTTAATTTTCATAATTATCTAAAAAATAAAAATTCTGAAAAAATACTTTAAGTCTCGTTAAAACTAACAATTTTTTTTTGCGAGCAGTTAAAATGTCAAAAGCGTGTTTTTCATAAAACCAATTTGCATTGTGACGCCAGAATGTATGTTCCTGCACATTATTTATGACATCTTATTCTTACGCGACGTTAAGAAATTTCAAACGGGAACTGCTATTTCAACAAAAAAAGAAAGGTACAACAAATTCTGAGAGCTTCAAGAATTCTCAATTAGCAGCTGCACGTAAATTGCATCGGCCTTGAGAACGATTTCACTTTTACTCCTCTCTCTTGCGAAGTTCTGAGCGATATCGACATGAGATCGTCCCAAACGCGTTTTGAGCTCAAGTTCAACGGGTTTTGGGGTTACAAGAAAACGCAAAAATCGCAAAGTGCCAATAAAAATAATGACTTGGCAAAAGGAGCGAAATTAAGTTAATGCTAGCTAGCCAACCGGTTCGGTGGTCAAAACAAAACCAAAATGAAGAAGAAACCAAATCAAAGCAAACATTGCGAATAAAATCAAAATAAATCGATCGCGCAGACGCAGCAAATATTTAAGCGTTGACCCATAAACCGCACGCGGATGTCCATAAAACAACAACAATATGGCCCAAAATAAAAAATCCTCAAAAAAATAAAGGTTGAAATTAAATTACTTAAAGTTGTGGGCGCCAAATGTTTTTTTATGCAAATTAACTCAATTTGGGGTTTTTTCGCAGCGCCAACAAAAAATTGCACAAATGTTAATAAATCATTTCAATTAACCTCAATAAAGCCGGCGAGTAGTTGAATTGAGTTGATACAGTAGCCAAGTTGAAAAAAAACTGGTTCAACGATCGCTTCACAAATAAGAAATTCAATGTACAAGAAAGAAATACCCTCTTCTTTGTCTTCGCTCAAGTTTAGTTCTATAACTTGACCATGGCCTTGAAATTGGATCTACTCGATCGGTTACGACGATTACAGAACTACTTAAAGCCGGTTTCACTTTTCAGGCCCCCGCCCACCGAAGGGCGTTGCGTTCATTAGGGTTCTGGTTATCAACTCCATGCCAATCAATGCGGGTCATTAAACCGAGCTTAATTGGCTGAGACGTGCCGCCTGAAGATCTCGATAACTATAACATGAAATTTGTTAAATCTGATTTCAAACTTAATTGTGCTCATGAGTAATAGAGTTGCCCATTAACAGGGATTAACACATCGGTTTGGCTTTGGTTCAAATAATATCTACAATAAAATCATCAAGCTAATTAAAGAGATAATAATGAAGAGATATTTTATATGCAAGCTTAGAGTTAACAATAAGTAAAGAATATCGCATTACCAAAAAAATTAATTTACAAAATTTAAATAAAATAATAATCAACAAAATTGCAACTTATAAATTAAAATTGGGTTTAAATATTTAAGGCCCAGAACTTCAGGTTTTATAAATACTTTGAAAATAACACTGCCGTAAGTAACTATAATTTTTAGGCGTTAAACATAAAATCAATCAAATTTAAATTATATTTTGTTTTCTTTCCAAATTCCGAGCTGCGCAATATTTTTCACTTAAAGCCGCAACACAGATGCATTTCATTAACCAAAAAACCGCAGAACTGCATTTTTTGTTTTATTCCTAGCAACTTGACTAGTTCTCAGTAAGAGCAACTACTTGTTAAATGTATTTAGAGTTTACGTCAGCAGACCAGATTTGAACACAGTCACACGCACACATTACAGCACAAAATTGTCACAAATTCTCTTGAGAAATTCCAAACACGTTTGCCAATGCAAAATCTATGCAAAATTATTGGGCGATAGAATGCACTTACGAAATGCTCCGAATAAAAATGGGCCACGAATATTGGCGGATACTCCAGATCGAATATCGAATCACCGATTTATCTTACGAGTAACGAATAACGAATGCGCATGCGCGCCCGCTGATGTCCGGCGCTTAAATGAAACTTTGCTGCCCGGCCTGCAACGTTGAAGCCTACCTAGTAAAAAAAACTCAGTTAACAACACAGGTAGCTGAATGACTACGTTCGGGCGATCACGAAAGAAAGATACAACACACAAGATACGAGATACATTTGTTCGCGCAGCTTTACGATGGACCATCTTTTTTCAAGTTCATCGGGTGAACTTGCAAATTTTTACTGGCCATTTTTACGAGCTATTTTTGGGGAATTTCGCTGAATGTTGATTAGCACTAGGCAAAATCGCAGATTGTAAAGCTAATCATGCTGGACAAGTCGGTGATCAGCGATTTGTCGCCGACTTATTAGCGGCGAGGTGCGAAAGATCAAGTAGGTGAATTAAAGTGCTTCCGCTCTTTACTGTTTACGTTTTTCGATTTTTGGAAATTATTATTTGAACTACAAATCGAGTCATTGGACTGGACTGCTGGAGAAGTCAATGTCAATGTCACATCTTGGACTTACGCTTTTCCGGCTTCGCAGATGACCTTAGCAGATCGTTTGGGTTACATGATGATCATGATGCGACCGCTCCGCTGATCATTAAGATGGCATTCAGCGTATTACAAACGCTTGACCCAGACTCATTTGCATACGAACAACAGCCAAATGGTTTCTTTAATGGGCAACTGAACAAATTTTATTTTTGTTCGGCTCTAGCTCGCCCGATTTCGCGGATACTTTCACAACACACACATTTTTTCTCTAATTTTTGGCGCTTTTGGTGAATCGAAAAAAAAAATGAAAAGAAGTGACCTTGAGTACAACAAACATGCCATGTGTTTCTTTTTATAGCCACACTATCCCAACAAATCGGCTTGAATGCATTTTGCATTGCTTTATTTGATATTTGCTTAGATTTTATGCATACTCATTTGGCATGACTTGGCAACAGTAAAATAGCCTGTGGAGTAGTAAAAAAAACACATACTCCACAAAGTGCTCAATCCACTCAATTTGAGATCAAAGGCTGGAGACAATGAGCCTTGCTAATTAAATTTTAACTGTTTAACAAAAGTTAAAAATGGATTATTGCCTGTCTGGTTTTCCCTAAAAGTGATAGCTGCCTTAGAGCAGAAAAATGAGACTGCAAAATATGTAAAATACGTAGAGTTAGAAAATGGGTAAAATGATTTTTTTAAATTTTAATAAATTAATTTTAAATATTTCTCTTAATTTTAAATATTTCTAAAAACCCAAAGAACCTTCTCGTAATTAGCACAGCTAAACATAAATAATATTTGCTAACGAATTTACATTCTACATACTCGTTTAGCAAATTAGCAAACTCAAATACTTTCCAATGCCAGTCGCTTAGTGTAAAAATTGGCTCAAGCAAACAAAAAACACAAGTGCATTTTAGCCACTAAATGTTATTTATGCCAGTGCGAATGTTATTTATAGGCCAGCCACTTCATGTGACTCACTACTTATATTAAAAATTTTAATCGCTTGGACAAACACTCCCCGAAAGCACTTGATAGACGACCTTGCCAAGGTAACCAGCTCAGCGATCTGATTTGATACACAAATGTTGGCGATTTAACGCTCGGCAGCCAAAGAAAACAAACGGTGGCTGCTCAGACGGATGATATATCAAATAATACAAATTACCAAATACGAAGCCAAATCACGGCATCAAAATAAACACAAATCAACAGTTTCTGCACCGTTTGCCGGGTGGGTAATAAAAACTCTTCAGTGTCAAGTGGGCCGGGTCGCCCATGATGAGTACTTGCGGCCATATCCCGTAGCCCATAAATCACGTGTCTCAAACAGATGAAGACGTGACCAGAGTGCGTAAAAAACCCAATAAAACAATATAATGCCTGTAAACTAACGATAATAATAGCCCCCCTTACCACCAGTACCATAAACGCAGCACGATGATTGACCAACGTCACAAGCGCTTTGGTAAAATTATGATTACGCATCTGAGAGGGGGGCTGAAATCGAGCCGAGTGCTTCGAGTGTCAAGTGTGTGGCCAAAAATATAAAATAAAAGCCAAGTGGAGACTCGGCCGACGTGCAGACAAGGGTGTACCTTACCACCATCACCATCAAACGCAAAATCCAATCGCCAAATGACACTCAAAAGGTCTAAGCCAGGCTAAGGAGGACCGACTTAATTGAATGAACTTGAAACAATTGCTGAATAATTTTCTGGGCTTTGAATTGATTTGCATTACAGCCGCCGACAATCAGTGGGGCGTTCCGAAAACCATTTAATTTGTTAACAAGAAATATATTCTGATACATTAAAAAATGTGTTAGCCTGAAATAAAAATAATAACTTTATCCCAAGCTAACAAATTTTAATAATTCAATGTTTTATTTGAATTTAATATTTACCGGTTTTATGACATTGGGGATTTTTATAAATTATATTGTGGAAATATTTATAAATTAAATGATAACAAAATATTTTGAGCTATTTCTTTACATATTTTTATATATTTTTAAATTTATTTATAAATATTTCATATTTTACCTACCAATTTGTTGGCGTTTTCCAGAACACCCAATATCGTGACCGCGTCGATGACAGACTCCATGTCAAATCTGCTCAGACCGAGACGGTCTTTGAACGCTTTGATTGGGTGTTATTGACACGACCGGAGTACTCACTTAGCCATGACTTGTTTACTTTATGTCGGGTTGCGTACAAGTCAAGAAACCCCAAAGAAAGAAGCACGAAGTATATGTTTAATTTGTCACTAATTTTATTGATGAAATCTTTTGTGGTGAGTTTTGATGGTTTGATATATCCTTTTAAGTATGTCGAAAATGCCAGATAAGTTGAGTTGATTAAAGATTTTTAGAATTGGAAAGATTTTTGCTTTTAGTTAGCTGGTATTTTGGTTTTGCTTTTATTTGCGTTGCTTCCTAGCATTTTGATAGTTTCCCATATACTTAGGCATATTCATTCAAATATATAGGTTAACTTAGTAATACCGAAACTGATTTACGTATTTTTTGTTTAAACCAATTGCTTTGCATGTCAATTAATTGTCACTATAACTATTTGGTTGTATAAAGCGAAAAGCGTCGTAGGGTTCCATTGATTATGCCTGGGTTTTTCTTTTCTAGATATATGTATTAGGTAGATTTATTATAAATTAATTCTTGAGTGTAAAAACTGTAAAACATAAAATGTACTTAACGACTACAGATACACTTTTGGACTTTTTGGATTCATATAAATAAATTTTCGCTTTTGTAAATGTTAGCATAGCGATTTCTATTTTGTATATTTATATTGTTAAACTTTGATGCATTTTTGTTGTAAATTTAATCAGTACGAATTCTTCAAAACTAAGCCCCCAAAAAATGGGTTTCTAGGACGTGTGAAAAGGTTAGGAATATTTTAATATTTTCATTTGGATTTTTGAACATATTTTTACTCATACTCTATTTCATTTTACATGCATCGAATTTTACATACGCTGCTCAAAAGTAGACAGTATTTTTTGTGTTGTCTGCTTCTCGACAATTTTGCAGCAACATGTTACCAAGTTCATTTTTCTTTCTTTTCAATTAATAAATAAAATTAAATTCCCTTGGATTGTGAACAAGCTTTTCAAACTAAACCTTCTCTACCACGTCCAGAAAATGGGGCTCAAATGTTTCGATTTTTCCAGATCAAAAAGAATAGCGCCATTTCAGTGGCGCAGCAGCATGTTGCTGACCTTGGCCTCGGCCTTGGGCGAGATTTTCTCCCGGAATTGGCGGTTCTCCGGATTGGACAGCACCGAGGCAATGAACTCCGAGGTCTCCAGCTGCAGTTGGGCCAACCGCTTCTGCAGCAGCTTGTTGCGTTGCACCAGCTTGATGGTCTTGATGGCAATCGAAAGCAGGCCCTCGCTGTTTTGGTGGTACAGATGCTGCTCCTTTATCGGATCCTGACTGTACTCGTACCCACTGTCGCCGTCGTCATCGTCGTCCACCACCACCTGCATTGGCACCGCATCCTGATCACAGTTCTTGGCCTGCCCAGCCGATCGGTTGTGTTTGCTACTATAGCCACTGGCCATCGTCGGCTGTAATACTGTCTTGATGTTGTTGTCGCTGCTGCTGCTGGAATGTGGCTGTTGTTGCTGCTGCAGCATCTGGATCTGATGATCCGAACCGATCTGATCGGAGTCCATCTCCACCTCCGTCTCCACGCCGCTGCTCGTGTCCGTGGAGAAGGAGGCCACGCGGGCCAGGATGTGCGGCATCCTGCGCTGCAATCTCACCGGGCGACGGCGACTCGACGAGTTCATTGAACCTTTGGCCACTGCAAAAGGGGAAAAAAAGAAATTCAATTTAGTAGAGAACAAAGGAAAAGCTGGTGCTATTTTTACAGTGACTCAAAGATTTTTATAAATAAGTTGATATGAACCATCAAGGAATAACCATCCGAATTACATCTTCTTTAAATATTTGTTTTAAAGTTTAAAATCCTTAAAGGACATATAACTGACAAATGTAATATTTTTGATTTTTTATTTTTAATGTAATCCATGAAACTAGAAACTAATTTCCATTATGAAAACAAATTATTTATCTAATATAATAATTACATAGTAAAAATTGTAATTAAAAACCTGCATAAAATTAAAATAAATTGACGAACTCATTGTGATACATTGTAAAAGAATTACTGCAAGTAAGCGGTTTAAAATGATTGAGACCCAATTAATGGCATTAAAAAATGAGGTCTAAAAATATACATTTCCTGATTTAAAACAAAAAAAAAACAGAAAGCCAAGCTCTTTTCAAAGCCCACAGTGCAGTTGTGTGTTCAAGTGGTCAGCTTATCAGTCGGTTGTCAACCGATGTCTCAATCTATATGGCCAAGTGCCTCGGTGTGCGGTTTCTGGTATGTAAATGTGGTCATCGCGTGTGGGCAAAAAACGTGACCAGCACCAGGGTTAAGCGTTTCGCATCAATTCGCAGTCGCAACGCTTTTCGCTACGCTCATTTGCAATCATCAGCTGTTGGGAGTCACGAAAAGCAAAACACATTAAGAAAATATAAAGCTAAATGGGCTATGCATTTAGAAAACAAATTGTTAGCCAACAAAATTGGGAATATTTTTTTTAAAAATAAAATGTATAAAAAGAAAAGAATTTTTTAAAATATATTTTGATGTTAAATAAAAATGTTTTTAATCGATTAATAAAGAATAAAATCCTTTCAAAGCTTTTCTAGCATTCTGTTTACTTTTTCCCAGTGCATTCGCAAATATAAGCTCACATTTCCCGCACAGAAACGATTTGGAATCGAGTGTGTCTATGGTCAGGGTCATGACGCGTCGCCTGGAAGTAAACGCAGCACATGGCACTGCACACCCTGGAATCGCTCGAAGTGGAACGAAACAAAATGGAATCATTCACCAGTTGGGCAAAGGCAAATAGAGCTTACGCGATACCCGAACCCAGTGCAGGGAAACGTGAGAGTGGCTCCACGAAGGCGGCGTCCAATTGATGACGCTGCTCGAGGAAAGGAAAGGGAATTGCGGAAAAATCAGTGACGTTTTCGTTACGATTTGCTTTGAAGAAAATTACAATACTCCGAATTTGATTACTTTGATTAATCATCATTATTAATTAGTGATTTCTATAAATAAAACTAATTGTATATAACTTGGATTATATTATATTAGTCATCTCTCTGGCCTTAATAAAATAATTAACGAATATATATTTTTGTATTGTTTAATATATATTTATTGATTTTTGTACTCCTTTTTTAATATTTTATTTTTTACTGAACAGAGGCATTTTTATTTCTTTTTATTTTCAGCGTCTTCAAGCTTCATTACAGACTCCAGAAACTTATTATTTGATTTAGCCGCCGCGTCAATGGACATAAGAAATTCAGCTGGATTCGGCTTACTAATGCGTTGTGTTTCGAATAGACTCATATTTCGTTCCAGTTCTTGGTGCAGTTCAGTCATTAGAACCACAAGATCGTTCACTTCCTCACAGAACTCGAGTATTTCACATTTGAGGCGACTTTTTTTTAAATACGCTTTATAAAATCTGGCGAAACGGACCGCATGAACATTTTCAGTTTTTATTGCCTCCCTTTTTGACATTTTGGCATGGATTAAGTAGATGTATCGCTCCTTGCAGACATGCATTTCCTTGGAAAATTCCTGTGCCCAAGCGAGGTGCTCTTCGGTTTTAGAACTAATATTCTTTAGATTGTTTTCCATGCAGGTGATATTCCCACGTAGTTGATGGATAATTTCACGAAGCTTTCGGTATCTGCAGATCAGTTCGTCTATTTCTTGTTGAAGGCGATGATGGGCTTGACGAAGGCTTCTGGCTTCCAAAAGTTCCTGGTCGGTTAGAGGTTGGATTTTGGGTTCTTTAGTTTTAGACTTTTCCTTGGCTTGAGGTTCCTTTTCCTGACTTTCAAACTTCTTGCACTTAGTCTGAGCCTTGGTTAACTGTTCCATTGGAGATTCTACAGATTCTTCACTAATTTTTTCGCTACTTTTCCCAACCTGACGACTCCTAATCGCCATCTGCATTAGCTCAATCTGGCGAATCAGGCAATCAATTTCGTAAACCGCCTTTCCTGCCCGATCTTCATCGTCAGTGACATCTTCAGTAAGATCGAGTTCCAGTTCCTCCTCCTCCTCGTCTAAATGGGAAAAGCTAACCTCCTCATCGACATGGAAAATCTCTTGTTTATTGTTATCGCATTTTGAAGTCCGTGATATGGGATCAATCTCGCTTAATTTCAGCTTGGCGCAATCGGGCAATCCATCCAAACTTTTAATGTTTTCCAATTCCAATTCCATTTTTGTGTATGAACTTTAATTTTCATGTGCATAACTTCAAAGGTTAATAAACCTACTAAGGTGAAATTGATAAATTCCAAATAAATAAGATTTTATATGCAGAAGCAACGCGTGTTCCTAAAATGTGCATTCATCTTACACAAGAAAGTTCCCCTTACTCATTTTAGTCATTATGCAACCCATATATCAAATGGAATAAATGTTTTCACGGCTTTCTTCTCCCTGCCAAATAAAATGCACATGTATTCGTTTGCGCTTACCTAACTCGGTGACTGTTGTTTTGACTTGGAAGTGCACTTCGCGTTTGCTACACAGAAGCAAAATACAAGTTGTAAAAACAAAACTTGTACACGATTTCCTAAAATAACCTATAGCTGCGAGGAAAAAATTTCTTAAATAACTTGTCGTAAGTTTTGTAATTTACAATTGTAATTGTTATTTACAAAGTAAACTGAAAGAAAACGTTAATAATTGTTATACATTTGTTTTTCGACAAGGCTTTGCTTTAAAATGTACAGATTTAATTTCAATAAAATCAAAAAGTTCTTGAATTTTCTCCAGTGTTCTTGCAAATTAAGCTGATTTTTTCGCTGTGTCGTTTATGGCCTCGTCATCGCAGTGAGATTGCACGTGCCTCGTTTCGTTCGCGGTGAATTAGTCACCGGTGATGCTTGAAAATAAAATTTTAAATACCTTAAAATTAAGGCAGAGGGCGAGGGCATTGGCCAACATTCCTACCCCCCTGGACCACGCCCATTTTCAAAGACCGCCTCCCCAGAGAAAGCAGTCGGAGGGCGAAACCAAGTCAAGAGGCTTTTGCACGTGGCCTCGTCACACCCATTTTTATTTTAGACGTGTGTCGGTGTATTTCTTTCGGTTTATTTTTATGTGTTGCTGCAAATTAGCAGGCAGCAACGAGCACAAATAAAAAGGCTACAACAACGACACCAACAACAGCGGGTGCTTTCAATGAATTCACATTGAAAATGGCACCAATAAAGTCAGCAAAAAGAGAAAAAAACAGCCAACTTGGCTAAAAGCAAACGGAGCAAATGTGCAAAACATGTAAATAAAGCCCCGGCAAAAGTGGCACAGCAGCGAAAACAACGCTGGAGGTTATGACACACACTTATGTGGAAGCCCCCCTCTGTGGACGACGCCCCTGATTTCGTGTGCTTGTGAAATATTTCTTGGAAAAAATCTAGGTAAATGCTCGTACAATTTCACTTGGCTAATGAGTAATCATTGAGCATCATTTGACTTTGCTGTGTGCAAATTTCTAAGAAGCGAGCTCTCTAAGAAGTGTAAACTATACAATTTTGTGCCACTAAATTAATTGGATTTATCAAGTACTTTGTTAATATAATCTTCTTTTAAAGAAGCTGAAGTGCTTTCAAGTTGATTGCCAGTTATTAGGTACATAATAAACTTTAATATAAATTTCCCCATCTATTTTAAAATTCATTGTACTAAATTCATTGCTAAAAACCAAAGTTATCTGAGAATTCTTAGAAAAAAACAATAAGAAATTCGATAACATCTCTGAATATTTATTTTGAATTTAATTTGCTCACGTAAGTAATAAAATTGATTACTCTTAATTTAATACACTTTATTCTAGACATGCAGCATTTAATCTTTCTGAATAAAATAGCCTGAATTTATACATTTATCGCCTACAAAATAAAAATTCAGTATTTACGCATCTTAAATAAATTCGTTTACATTTTGAATCAGTTACAACCTACTTCACAAATTAACTATTATTTAAATGCAGAAAAATTCAAATACGTTTAGATATTCTTACACAACCACCTAAATGTGGCATATTCTATTTTCAGTTACTTGATAAAATGTACTTCCTTACTGCGGGAGCTACTCGATACCTACCCCCCTATACTTTTTCCCATATCCATTTCGGTGGCAGTCATGCGGCATTAGATCGCTTATATAAATGTGCCAGCCAGATTTGCGAACCGAGTGAGCCTCAGTGTCTTACCCAACAGGCAACGCAGGCGGAAGAGCAGCTGGAGCCAATTGCTGACGCAAATTGTTGTGGCATAACCCCAAACTCGCGTGCCTTCCATGGAGCAACATCGGCAGCATTAGCAGCAATAAAGCACATAAAGCACCGGAGGCCAACACGTGAAGAACCCAATGCGAACCCATCGCCCCGGGGCACGTGCATTCGAGCATTCGAACATTCTCTAGTCGAACCGCACATACGATACGATATATATGTTATATGGCAATGAGGAAGTGGGAAATGGGAAACGAGGACAGAGCTCAGAGAACAGAGGTGGGTGGCCGAGTTTACATAAATTAATTAAACATGACCGAGTAACGTGAGCGACTGGGCGACTCGGCAACTGGCAAATGGGAAATGGAAAACGGACTAGTAACAACAGCAGCGACATCAGCAAATCAGCAGGGGATTCTGTCTACAAGGGAGGTATCAGAAAAAAAGAGAGACAAGGCGGAGATTGCAATGAATATGTAAGACAATGTTACGTATACGCCGCGTGCGCCCATCGCGTACAAGTGACACTGAGCAAAACCTATCAAAAAAATCACTACTGCTTTTAAATTTTGTAAAATGGTTTCTAAAAAATGGGTAAAAGGGGAATGTCGTATTTATGATGAAATTTTGAATTATGAATTTATTGTAGCATACTTTAAAAAATTTGTACACCTTTAACTAGTGATTTCCAAATCCTTAACCGCCCTATATTCACCGAGTTTTTTAACAAAATGTAGTTTAAAAAAAGAGTGAAATAATAAAAAAAATAAAAAAATATAAAAACAATAAAGAATCTTTTACGAAGGTGTCCAAAAGTATGCAAGGAAAAGTAATGTCGCGTTTTTTAAGGAAACTTTATTTTCAATGCTTTAAAGTTTAATACATCAAGAATATATATTAAAGCATACCTTTAGGCACCTTTATAAGTGATTTCCAACCTCCTAGTACAGATATTTAAAGAATAAATAGAACTAAAATAGATTTCTTAACTGAAATATTTCCCTATCTGCACTTGACTGCGTTCAGTGTTTACTCACCATAGTTGAGCACCGAGCTGGTTTGTGTGGCGGCAGCTGCAGATGTGGATCCCGTGGATGAGGACGAGGACGAGGATGCGGTGGCTGCGGCTGAGGAGGATGAGGATGAAATGGCTGCTGTGGCCACGCCATGATGTCGCCGCGTTTCGCGCAGCTGCTTCTTCTCTGAACATATGGTGGGCGCCATCTTTCGGTGAGTCTTTTTTTCTTTTCTTTCTGGCAGCGTCTATTCACACTGAAAGCAAATGTAAATAAAAGCACAAATTAATTAGCCGCCGCATTGATTAATTGATTAAACGTTTTAGCTGCCGAACTGCACGCGCCAGACAGCAAAGAACATAAAAATAAGTAATCAACAACGAATTCTTTCGAGTTCGTTTAACTTTAAGCAATTTGATTGTTGTCCGCCACTTGCAGTGATTCTCCCTGCAGAATACTGAATACATTTTTGAGAGGCATTAAGAAAAGGCAGGATATGACGGGGTCGTTAATTTTGTTTTTATATCAATGGCGATAAGAACTGAAACCGGAAGTTTACTAGCGTCATAACAATGGGTGCGTAGGAAATTCCAAAAGATAAGGATTTAAAGTTCCCAGAAAATACGATTTTCTGCAATTTTTTTCAAGATTAAATTGTTCTCACAACGGAACATTTAAAATGCTGGACCTTTTTCTTTTGACTTATTTACCCGCATTTCTCTTGATCGCAAATAATTATTTATTCTATCCCCGCTAAATCCACTTCACCGAATAATCGTTTTCTTCCAAATCAGCCAGACTTAATCCATTAAAACTACATAAATCACTCGAGCCAAACAATAAACGCCCGACCTGCCAGGGTCCAAAGTTCAGAGTCCCAAGTCCAAGTCTCGTTTCCAATCTCCAAGTTGACATTTTGGAGGTGAATTTAAGATGACGCACCCGCCAGCCGAAGCTCATTAGGTGGGCTCCAAATCCTGGCTAACGACCATCTAAATTCCATCGGCAAAGGTAAACAAACTTAAAGTGAGTTTTTTGCGGGGGTGGCGCAATATTGATGGAAAGGCTGGCGAAATTGCTCAAGTGCTTTTCGGGGCTGTCAGGGGATGAGAGGCGATGAGGAGATGAGGAGATGAGCGCCCCGCCTGTCGGCAGTCAAATTCAAATTGAAAAACGCCCCAAAAACGACCGGCTGTTGGCGGCACGTGTATCTCTTGAGTGTAATTACATTTGGTAAAAGCGCTCGCGACGATGATGAAATGTTTGGGGCCCTTGACGGCATTTTACCCACCAACCAACCAACCTGTGTTCCCAGTCCCCCTGTCCGCAATATTTAAAATACTTGTGGGCGGTTAAGACGCTTTTCAGACCTTCCTCAGCCCCTAAAAACAGCCCAGTCTGTCGGTTTCAGGTCGATGTCAATGCGCCAATATGCGCTGAAATTACTTTTCATTATTTATGCCTTATCCGTCATCCGATAGTTAAAGCTGAAGAGGGCTGATCCGAAACGAGGCGATTGTATAGTTCACTGAGAAAAACAGTTGGAATCAAAAAGAGTCTTTTGCGCCTAAATGTAGGCAACTATTTATTTAAAATAGGAAAATTTAGAGAATTCTTAGGTATCTTGAAATATTATTTAATTTATTTATTTTTAGGTTTTTAATTTAAAACAATTTAATATTTAAACAAAAAAAATTATAATTTTATTAAATTAAGTGTTTGTATTTAAAATCTAATTCTGAAATTTCAAAATAACAAAAGTGGTTGACATATTGTCCAAGTGCACCTATCGTGCCCATTTGTCCCTTAAGCGGAGACCGGGAAATGTCTGTAACAAAAGACCGAAATGTGCGTAACAAATACTAAGCCTCAACGAATTGCCCCAGTGGCAAATTTAATGCGGCGCGTGCGGGCCTAAAGCGAAAAATGGGCATGAGAAGTGGTAAGCAAGGAGGCTTCCAGGCTTCCCCGACAGATAAAAGCCAGGGAAATGTACAGCGCTTAAAGCGTAGAGAAGATTTAAGGCTCAAACGGAGATTGGGCAACAATTTCAGACACGTTTCACCACAGAGACACCTGTAGCTCGCTGCCACCTGCAACTTGGAGGTCAAGTCAATCAAGCAACTTTGATGAGATTTCCCGCTGCGTGCCTACAAATTAGCCAATAATTGCTCAACATGACACGCCACAAAACAAAAAAAAAAACCCAACAAGAAAAGAAACACACGCACAGTTGTCAGCTGTCAAAGCAAGAAGTAAAAACAAAAAGCAAAACAAAGGAATCTGCTTATGCCAATGACTTTTCACACGCCACCAGAACGGAAGGGAAATTTGATTTTCTCTTTTATTTTGTTTTTGGGGCATCTTTTCTTCTTTCTGTTGGAAATTGTTGGGGCATTGTTGCGGCAGACTGTTGTGACCGGCGGCTACATCAGAGAGACAAGAGCCAGCCAAATATTGTCAACGTGTATCCGACAATCCGAAATTAGAGTTCAAGGAACTCGTTTTTTATGTTTTACAGGAACGTGTGTGCCCGTCTGCAAAGGCGTTGCCATTTTGAAATTTATTTGTCATGCGTAACGCTAAACGCTGCGGGCCTTACAATGCCCCCATTGTTCACATGAGAAGCAGCACACCCTCAGACATCAGAGCAAACAAGGGTACACACAGAAAAATATTAGAAAATATAAGTCAAACATATGATGGAAATATTCCAATGATTTAAAAGAATTATCCAAATCCAACAAAAATATTTCAAGCTTATAATGTACATATTTAAAATTATAAAGCATCTATCAAATAATTTCTTTAATTCTTCTTTAATTTCTGAAACCAAATTTTTAGACACACCATAAAGAAATGTATACTCTTTATTAATATGTTACATAACCTGAACAATAAAGCGGAACTAATATTTTTTTCTGAGTGCCAGAGAACATAAAAACACTAATATTTCTGAATTATAGCCAACGTGTCTGTCCTTTGTGTGTCTGCATGTTCGGGAAGCGTTTTAAATTGCACTGGGGTCTCGTTTTTCTAAATGTTTACTTCCATCATCTTTCAGTTGCGGCATTAGCCAAAAGAGTACTTGAAATATTCATAACCCAAATGATTCGGCTTGGCTGCAAAACGCGTGTGACTACAGGTAATAATATAAGCTGTCCTTGGGGGCGTATACTTGATATTTTGCCAGCCTAATACAGTGTATTAAATTTCCCTTTCCTTTCTAATTGCAGTCACGCCCGTGGCCGTGGCCTTCTGTTCTGTTCTGGTCTAATCTCTATGGGGAATTCCATTCATTTTTGACCTTATCTCACAACTTTACACGCGCCGCACATTTTAAAGACGCCGCCGCGAACAAACAAAATTCACATCTATATACACGAATAAAACTTTCCGCAGCATGTTTACTTTATGACTGTTTCTTACATTTATTGTTTACACGGACTATGTTTGCTTGAGATTTGTGTATTTATTAGCTTAATTCTCTTTCTCTATTTTGCAAAAAGGGGTACGATCACTATTAAATAGAAACTTAATTTAAATTCAATGACTTAATAAGTAAGAAAATTTTAAAAACCCATTTTTTACTCTGAGCTTTATTTAAGAAAATTTAATAGTCGTATTTATATAAAAAAATTTTTTTTTTTTTTTTAAGTTTATGTATATTTTAGTACTAAATTTGTGGGTACAAAATATGTACTTACAATATTCTATAAATGCAAAATCGTTCCTTATAAAAAGTAATATTTTCAGGGTACTTTCCGTTCAGCAATTACATTTTTATTGCCAGTGCACAAGTGCTCATGTTGTCCCATGGGCAAGTCATCAAAGTGCTAATTTTCCTTCTTATCTCAGCACATGCGCCTAAAAGTCAGACAGCAACAGTGACAACAGAAACTAGGCAAACTAAAAATCAGCCAAAAAGGCAATCAAAATGCGTCATAATTGTATTTAGATACTGTAAGAGTTGGGCGTAAAAACGTGCCAAAAGAAGGCTTGCCAACTTTCCGCGGGAGGTAAAAATGGGAGCACTGAAATAAAGTGACAGTTTTTTTAGCCGACTTTTTTCGCACTTGATAAAACGGGCCTAGACGAAAAACAAAAATTAGCATTCTCAATAAATAGATGATGAAATTTCGGTAACCCAATTGAAGACTGCCGTCAGCAGGCGAAGAAAGCAAATAAAAGCCGAAAACAGTAAATGAGGCGCACGTGTGATAAATTATGACTTCTCGATAACAGGAATTCAATAACAGGCAAGAAATGGCAGCCATAAAACAACGACCCGGAACCACACAAACACATCGAACGACCCAGACTTTAAAGACAGACAATGTCTGGCTTCCATTTGATTTCTACGCGAGACAAGTAAATAATCATCCCCGAATCTTCAGCTAATCTCAGCGGATTTATTCGAAGAATAAATGTTTATTTTTGCAAATACTGACGAGTGATGAAATTGTATTGGAATTTTTAAAACAATTTAATAACCAAAAATCCAGAAATTATAAGCAAAACAGAATTAAATAGGTATAATGTAAAGAATTTGATAACGTTTAATGGATTTCTTATTAATTTAAATGCTCTCATAAAAAGAGTCTATCTATCAAAATAACGAAGTCCAAATTCTAGTCTCGTATCAGTAAAAAAGGAAGAGCCATTAAAAATATTTGCATCAATTGATCGCTTTTGGAGACTATTTTACCGAAGAATAGACATAAAATCCTTTGTTTTCTGTTCCGCTTTTTAGCTAAACAGAAATTAATCAACCATCTAATTAGCTAAACGTCTGAATGCCTAAAGCATTAATAAAACTTTGAATGTTAAGCCCACAAGGCGAAACCAGATCTCCCGAAGACATAAAACGCGAATGTGATTGATACAGGTCGTGCGTCACTAATTAATAGACCGACATGGATTTATGCATATCGAAAAAAAGCCGGGATAGTGTTTCAAATTCCAGCTGTCTGTCGGAATATTTCCGATTTTATTGTTCACCTTTTATATTCGATTCCATTGTGACGGCTAATTGGATCGTGGGTAGAGGATAGATACAAAGCCTGTTCATTGTTCTCTTCGATTTTGCATGAATTTAATGATACGCAAACATAAATTTCATCTTACCAGACTATTTGAGTGTTTGACATTTTGTCAGCAATAATTCTGTTTGGCTCGTTTCATTGGCACGTCATAAAAATGTTAAGCGCAACAATTAACATTAATTAATGACTTTTGCGGGCACGTGTGCCTTGT